CTCTCTATATATATATATATATATATATATATATATCACGATTTAACTTGTCCATATCTCTTTCATCTTTTCATAAAACAATTAACCTTTTAGCTTTTGAATCTCCTTACAACCGCAGAATTACTTTACCATGCACAACACACATGGTGTGATCCGAATTGCCTTGTTGGTCACAATCTGTAGCAACTCATCCCACATCGGTAAAAAAAGAAAAAATTTCTGCTTCTTATAAGTTCAAAGTTATACGCTATCAGTAACTTCCACCGTAGTTTTAAGTTGATTCGAAGGTTATCGGTCAGTTTGATGCTTCGGGCTATGGGGCGTTATAAATGGTATTAGAGTCAATTCTTGTACCATCATCATGATGGTGGGGGAGAACCTCATCGGGCATGATGAGTCCCCGAGAAGGGGGTGTTTGTAACATGTTAAACAAATCTTATTGCCAATTACAAGAATTTAAGTAGGAAAGTTTGTAACAACTTGTCCATATCGATAGAAAAGTAAAGTTGTGAGTTCTTTATAAATGTACAAGTTGTAGGCTACCAATAACTGCTTCAAACCCTTAAGGGGTTTTTTTTAGTTTGCACACCACCTTGTTCACAAATAGAAGCACCATATTTCTAGGAGGCAAATCTATATAAACCTTACAATATACCACCATGTAAGAATGCATTAGGGGTTGTTTGTTTACCTTTAATAGTTCAATTAAGAGTCAACTTCTGAATCATTAAGAGGCGAATCTTGTTTGACAAAAAAAAATCTATCTCTTAATGATTTTAAAACCCTCTGAATGATTTTCTGTCATGGATCTTTCTTAACCATTAAGAGTCCTAATTTTATTGTACACAATTACCAAACAATTATATTTCATTTTGCACTATATCATGAGATCTCTTAATCATTCTGACTACTAAATCATTCAGCAATTGTCAAATAGCCCCTTAGCTAATGAAAGGAGTACTTGAATTGTTAGCAGCTTAATGAACTTATTCTCGGAGAAAAAACCTGGCTTTTTGCATTAAGCTCCCCCTAAAAGCCACTTTTTATATCAACAAGTCACTACCAAATTGTCATGTATAGCTGACCGAATAAAGCTCCGAGTCTCATTAAACTCATTAAGTTGTTAACAAACAGATTCTTAACATTCGTCATGCATTCGAAACATGAAATTACTCATAATTAGAAATTCAAAATGAAAATATAACAAGTAATTAATAATAATAATAATAAACAACCAACCCTCTATTCTACATAGATTAGGGAGGATAAGAGACACCACCAAAAAAGGAATACAAAACTCCATAATTTCCCAATTTTGAGAAGTGGAAACCATAATAAAACCCAAAAACTCTTCCCTAAATAGAATAGTAGTAGTAGTAGAAGAAAAACTCTTCACATGGTACACCCATTAAAGCATAACAACTACTCCTGCACCAACCATGCCCAACAACAGACCCAAAATGTTGGTTTCTTGACCTACACCATGGCTAACATCTGTGTCCATGCTCGATGCCGACGGCCCTAACCCTCCTCCCATTCCACCACCTAACATTCCCCCGTTGTTTGATGGGTTGTTGCCGAATGAGGACGTGGAGGTGGAACCTGGTGAACTTGTTGTGCCAGTGTTGGTGGTTGGCGATGTTGACCCGGTTGTACGACTGCATGTGTCAATATTTATAACGATTGAATGTCGTTTAGATTATGAAGACACTAATAAGAAACAATAACGATTACTACTAACGTTCAAGCATGAAGGCGCCCTTCCTACCAATTTCATCATTTCCAATGTTATCTTACGACTTCAAGTTTTTTCTAAATCTATCCCTCCCAATCAAAAAACATGTTTTTTTAATCTATGGAAAAACTCTTCCAAACAAAAACCTTTCAATCTATACAGGCAAATTAATCCATACAGACAGTTTTATCCATAAATGAGTTGATGGAAAACCAACCAAACAAGCTCCAAGAGTATTATATAGTAGGACTCATTTTTATTAACCAATACCTAGTGGGTATGATGTTACATTATATAAACGTTTTTCCCGTTTTCATAAGTGGTTTTCATGGAAACAATTATTCTCTATTTTGGTGTAGAGATCAAGTCACATGCCCCACATACCTGACCTTTGAGTGAGATATATTAAAGTCTTCTGAATTGGTTTATATCCTAAAAGACCATAGTGCCAAACCAGGTTTCGCTACAAACCGAAAACGTTAACCAAACCATAGTTCCTGTTTTCCTTCAAAGTTCAAACATGTATTTTTCTCGTCTTTATTTAACAGATTATTCTAAATGAACCCCCTATTGTTAAATAAACCTTGTTATTATTTCCATACTGGCACATATTAGGACCCGTTTACCAAACACTTACCCGGGTAAGCACTTATCAAGTCACATTATCTTACCAAATGAATATGATAAAGACTAAAAATCTTACCTGGTAAGGGCGAGACAAGGACCAAGAGTCTTACCCGGTAAGTGAGGATGATGACTCTTACCACAGTAAACGCTTACTGGGTAAATTGTTGCATACGATGTCGTTCTGGTAAACTAAAGTCTTATCAAATAAATAAGTAATAGTGTTAAATTATACTGATAAATGCTTACAAGCTAAGTATTTAGTAAACGGGTTACATGAATCATTTCTTTTTTATATTTTCAATATACCATAAATTCAAAATGATTTGATTCAAAATAGGGTTCATGGCATTTATTTTATCTCCCTCGTTTCAATGTAATCACAAAACAAAGCAAAGTTTAGGGCAAAATTTGGCACTTATCTCAATGGGAAATTTGGGGGTAAATCCAAGGGCTATGATTGTTGGGTTTTGTTTAGATGTGGTGCGTGATAGGTGTCAGATATGGACAAATTTATGGGGCAGAGCCTTGTTAACCCTGTCCGGCCGTACAATTTTATATAAATATATAATCATGCATATCCATGTGCATGTGGACCCACTAAACTATATATGACGCATGTGCATCTAGTTTTACAGCGGTATTGCTATATATACATGTTAACGTTATCTTACGACTACGTTAAAATAAAATTAAAAGATGGATTTTAGTAATTTTTTAATTAACAAATTATGATATTTATAATAAATGTTTAGAAGATAAAAATAATATTTTTATTAAACGTATTGAATATTTTAATGATATAATTAATGTTATAATTTCTAAAATAGAATAGTTATTGGAGTTGAATATAATTTTTTAGAGATTTTGGTTATTAATACTCTATTTTTGAAAAATTATAGCATGGTTGTCAGAGATGCTCGTGATCAGATCAAATCAAATCATGAATTGTGAGTCTCAATATTGAGATGTCTAAGAAGGAAATTAGAAGGTAGGGGTGCATTTACAGCCCGCCACACAAGGTATTGCAATATGCAGCCTTATTTATGCCATAATCAAGTTAAATCATGGATCCCCAATGTAAAAAGTAAGTCTTGATATTGATGTGTGTGTACAAGAAATTAGTAGCTATATGCACCCCTATTTATGTTGGAATTAGGTTAAATCATTGCAATATGCATCTCTATTTAAAATGTAAGAAGTAAGTCTTGATGTGTATGAAGAGGAAATTATTAGGTAGGAGTGGTTTTAGCCCGCCACTTAAGGTATTGCTATATGCAACCCTATTTATGTCAGAATCAAGTCAAATTGAAAATGTAAACAAGTATTAATGTTTTTTGTAAGAGTGTCTGGGCCAAAGCCCGACTAATCCTCGGCAAATTTGGAGGCTAAACATGGCCTCACTTAAATGTCGCCAACACTCCCCTCCCAGGGCTCGAACTCAGGTTCATGACTATGTCATGCCCAAGCCTTTACCACTAGGCTGTAAGGTTTTTGACAAGTATTAATGTTGATGTATATAAGCAGGAAACAAGTATATAGGGATATAGTTAATTACATATAGAGATACATTTGAAGGTTTGATGTTTTTTTAAAGAAAGTTCGCTATGTTTTCTGTTTTTTCTCTAGAATTACTAAGAGGTTGTTTGTCGGTAAAAGTCATTATGCTCACTTATCTTATCGGGTCACATTCTTGGTCATATAAATGTATTGCTGGTAAATTTTGAGCATTAAGCGTTTATCGGGTAAGAACCCCTTATTTACCGAATAAAATTCGTGGTACTTGTCATGTTCACCATTAAGGTATGTAATACTGTCAAAGATCTTCCAGCCTAGTGGTAAAGGCTTGGGCATGACATAGTCATGAACCCGAGTTCGAGCCCTGGGAGGGGAGTGTTGGCGACATTTAAGTGGGGCCATGTTTAGCCTCCAAATTTGCCGGGGATTAGTCGGGCTTAGGATCGGACACCCTTACAAAAAAAAAGTATGTAATACTCGATAATTGTTTAGTAAACAACCTCTACACCTTTATGTAAAAGATAAATACATATACGAAACAATACATTAAAAGTTATGAAGGAACACTCCATGGTTTTTGGAAATCTCATCTCATTATCGATTTATCTTCAGAAAAAATAACAAAACCATTCATATATAAATACATAGGGTTGGATTTCAGTGAGCATGAGGGTTAAGGTGAAAAGCGTAAGAAGAGATCTTCACCCTTGGATGCACATAGGATAAGATGCACCGAGATGCACCAGATCAATCCTCGTATCAAGTGCAATTCATGGGTGGGTTTGAGATTAAAAGTGATCAAGGGTCCAGATTACTTCTATCGTTTCTCATCTTAACTCTCTTTCTCACACGATCTTTCGCCCAAAATACATATTATTATAAGGGTGATGTTATATGCACCCGCTTTAATGTTAAATCAGTTCAAATCATGCATTGAAAATGTATAAAATAAGTTTTGATGTTAACGCGTGTGAAAAAAAAATTAATGAACAAAGATGCATTTAATCTACCCAAGTTATAACAGTTTGAACTTTAATATGAGAACATATTCATCAAAAACATACCTGGCTGTAGAAGGAAAAGTGCACCCATTGGAACCTATTAAAACCCCCAAAACATATTTAGTCATTAAAATTAATTAAATAAATAAATTGGTTTTCTAACATTTATAAAAAATCATTCAAAATGGGTACAAATATAACCTTTAAAAAATATATGCTTATAAGGAAAGATGAGGTAGTTTTGTAATTTTCATAATTTTTTTAAAGGGTTTTAATTTCTTCCTTTTCCTTTACTTCCTGGAATGAAAGTTTTATGAGAAAACTTATGATTATTTTCCTTCCATTTCTTTTTTTTAGCTGCTAAAAATGTTTCAAGAACGAGTTTTTTTTTTACTTTTCTCCTCATTCCCTCCCTTTTTTCCTTTTCTTTGTAAAATAGTTTTGAGAACACAGTGGAAAAAACCCATAGTAACCCTGAAAAACTCTGGACCAATGACATTGATCTTTATTTGACAACTCAACTACACGTTATAAACTCGATTTTCATGTTATATACATGTATTTATGCATTTAATCCTTTTTTCAATCTTTATTTTTTATTATTTGAAATCATTTATTTTACTATAAAATATAATATATATATATATATATATATATATACATATATATATATATATATTTTTATATTTATATATGGAAATAATAAAAGAAATGAAGAGAAGAGACTAACTGGGGTCAGTGGTGACGACCATGGTTGCACCCTTGAAATCACAGGTACCAGGGGTCTGACCCTTGTTCTGGAAATAGCTATTTACCGCATAGTTGCAGTGGTCTATAACTGTATCAGGGTTAAAACATTTTCCACCTTGATGGGTTTGGGTGCAGTCTGCTCCATTTCCACACGCATAATCTATTGCTTCTTGAAGCACTTTGTCTTGCCCGCCTTTCTTGCACACACACCAATTCCCACCTTCACACCACCCACACACACACCCTTAATTAGACTAGAATCAAATAAACTATAAAAAAAATTCATATTGTTATATTTTTTCATCAATGTTATCACCTTTCAAGGATTGTCATTTTCTATGAGAAGTATAAGAAATATCACATTTATACGGATTTGGTTCGAATGAGAGTTACGGTAAATAGGGTAAAAATGAATCTTCATTCTTGAATCAATCCTAATCAACGAGAACCATTGGATCAACACTAATGAAATATATTAGATCAGTTCTCTTCTAAAACGCAACTCATGGATTGTATCCTTGGTCTATATATAACACATAATATGTGTAAAGCTATCCTTCTAAGTGACCGGCTTCACATAAAATGGTGTAGAGATACATATTCAAGTCTATAACATTTACAATAACGCTGTAGATTATTCATAAGGTTCATACATGTTTCTCTGAATTGGATTTTTTTAATGATTCGCTTAACACTTAACATTTCGTTCTTACCTTCCATTAACCTTACTTTTAACTTTCTACTCTTTATCTTTTCATCATATTTACTCTTAACATGGCCATATAATATATGTATATATATATACACACACACACAAAATCAGTGTGGAAGCGGTATTTTCAAAAAATATACGAGAAGCATAAAAATCCTCCACAGATCGAACATAGGGTTTTGATTCTACTTAAAACAGGTATTTGTAATTCAACAGACGATAGCTACGAGTCGGATCCAAATGGAGCAAGTTTTTTTTAACAGAAATGTGCGAAAATAAGTAGAGAAAAAAGGAAAAGGAAATGCTTACTTGACTGAGCAGCCATGGACAGGATGAGCATAAAAACAACTAAAACCGCCATTGATGACCACCAGAACCAGAAGCTTTAGCTACTTGGAGAAGAAGAAGTTGTGGAGAGAGAGAGAGAGAGAGAGAGAAGAGGGGGAGTGTTTTGATGAAATCACGATTTTATTTGATTTATTGAGACCATAAATTTCTTTTGGGGTAAATAGTTGAGAGCTCTTTCTTCAATGTTTTCATTTCTCTTCAGATTTGATATCACTTTCCGATACAAAAAATTGGTTTATTCAGTAAGTTTTTACGAGTGGTTTTGTAAAAATCATGTTTTTTTCATAACATGTCTCTTATTTAAAAGTTACGTTCTATCTGTCTATTTTTTCAAACAAAAACATTCTCAATCTATACAGACATATTAATCCATACATACAGCTTTTTTTATACAGAACTTAATTGAAAACCAACTAAACGACTCGAATGTTTGTCAAATTCTCTACGTAAATGCATATAACCCCGACAACTCACTTGACCCGAAGAAAATATTGAATAATCGGGTACAAATCAATTCAACTAAAGTTGTGCACCCGATAATCTAAACGTAAAATCCAAATCATCCCTAACTCGGAAATGTCCAGTTCGATTCAAGGTTTCTTCATACTATTTATCTCGACATCTGATATCTTGAATTACTGTATGTTTTGAGTGATTAAATACAAATTATTTCTTTATAATGCTACGGTTCCCTGCGGTCCGAACCCGATGCCGCATTAGGTTAGGGAACCGGGAAAATTCGTGATTCTTGCTGGATGCACTTTTTACACCAACTCACACTGAATAATCTTTGTTGTATCGTCGCTTTCGGATCAACATCATTATTACACACTTTACCATATTTATAAATTTGTTAATGGTTTTTATTAATAACTATGTTTAAATTAAGGGGAATCTACACAAATAGTCAAATCTAACAGGTGGTTTCACTTTTTAATCATTTTTTCTAACAGTCAATCTTTATACATAATGTATAAAGACCGGTTTTCAACAAAAATAAGTAAATAAATAAAAAAAATTGCGCATATCCGTTAGGTTTCTACTTAAGAATCTCACTTTCTGCGTAAACAGTCGTTTTTTTTACTGAAAATTAATCCTTACGCATTCATAATTCTTCTGTTTAAGAATTAACTAAATATGAATCTAGATTTAAAATGAATAAAAATAAAACCCTATTTACTGATCAGCTATTTACGCCCGATTTCGCTACAATTGAACACAGACTACCATTTTTTTTCAAAATATAATAAAAGTAAGGGGGTGTTTGGGATTGCTTATCTGAAACAACTTATATTTTTTTTATAAAAGTCTTTATTAACTTATGATAAGTTAGAATGATTTAACTTATTTAAAAACTTCTTATTACCGGTTTGACATCGGTATAAGTTGTTTATCCAAACATTAAAAAATATTTATTACCGGTATCATATCGAAATAAATCAATAAATTATTTTTATAAGTATTTCTAAAATTAATTTTTGGTAGAATTTCATTGAAATTGGTTAATGGAGGAAATAATTGGAAAAAAAGGGCAAGGAGAATCGTGGGATGATATGGGCATGGTGGGTACTGACAAAAGACCAGACTTGTCTTAGTACTATTTGTCTGCTTATATACGTTTCTCTTTTCTTCCAACGGATACATGGTTTATAATATAATATATAAAATAAAAACAGTAATTATATACATCTTTTAGGGTGTGTTTTGTTTGCAGGAATCTTTTTGAAGGATTTGGATTTTCAGGAGGGAATTGGATTCCATGGGATTTGGATTAAATTGGATTTAAAATCCATCATGTGTTTGGTTTGCAGGATTGGATTGGATTTGAAATTCATTCCTCTGTTTGGTTTGTAGGATTTGGTTTCTAATACTTCGTATAATTTTTTTAACCTAATATGTGTTCATATATATTCAACTTAATCTGTCAAAATTGAAGGATTTAACCTAATCTGTGTTCATGTATATTCAACCTAATCTGTCAAAATTGAAGGATTTAACCTAATMTGTGTTCATAGTTTAGAGAGAAATCGAAAAGGKGAAAAGGGGAAAAGGGATTTACTTGTTGATGATGGACGACGGAGACGAAGAGCGACGGCGACGGTGAGCAGCGGAGACGAAGGGCGACGGTGAGCAACGGAGACGAAGGGCGACGGTGAGCAACGGAGACGAAGGGCGACGGCGGTGACAACGGAGACGAAGGGCGACGGCGGTGGCAACGGAGACGAAGGGCGACGGCGACGGTGAGCAATGGAGGAGACAGCGATGTAATATGTGACGAGAAGGGGAAGAATGAAATCCCACGGGAATGGATTTCAAAATCCCGTGTATTTTCAAAGGATTCTCAAATCCAGTGTTGGTGGGATTTTAAATGAATCCCAGGATTTTAAATCCTACCATTCCTACAAACCAAACGCATGATTGGAATGAATTTCAAATCCAAATCCTTCCAATTTCATTCCATTCCTGCAAACTAAACGCCCCCTTAATGTAAAATTACATGTGATTGTTTTGTTTTCGTATTTTTTTATTTAGTTATTGTTTTGGTATAAACTTTATTCTCTCTCTCACTCTCTCTTTCGTAATGTGAACGTATATTTAAGAACCAGTACATAATATGTTATTTTATATGATTTTTTTTCCGTCTATAGTGAGAATTTCGTGTAGTAATTAACATATATTTGTTTCGTAATGTGAACATTTTTTGTGTGGTTGTGAAACGAAAAGTACACATAAAAAAGTTTCACGTTGTGAACCAAATACATATAAAACAAATATATGTTAATCATACATTAAATATGATATTAAGATGAAAAAAAAATCATGTAAAACAAAACCTTAAAATCAAACTTCTCACAAACCTCATAAAACTCAGAGTTCTCTATTAGACTAGGTTATACGTTAATGTAATTATGAATAGTTAGAGGTATCTAAATGTAATTTATATTATTATATAATGAGATCAATGAGAATGGGAAAACCCACGATTTACACTCTATCATGGTATCAGAGCTCCCAACCTAGCCGGCCCTACCTACTTCCGCCTTTGGATCGCTGCTGTCTTCCCCTTCGCTGCTGTGTCTTTCCCTTCAATCTGCGATCTCCTCTAATCGCAACCCCCCCTTCTCCATTTCGATTCTCTCTTCTCTTTTTCACCTTTATTCCGATTCTAATCCTTATGGCCGGCACTAACATCCAACCACCCATCATCCAGCCGCTCCACCCTGCGACAACCGTAACCAACATCAAGAATCAGATCCCTATCACTCTCACCACTGATGGCAACACCTACAACTCCTGGGTCGCCTTATTTAAAGTACAGTGCACCGTTTGTAGGGTTTTGGATCACATTATCCCGGATGCTACCGCTCCCTCCGAACACGATGAAGAATGGAAGCGTATTGATGCAATCGTGTTGCAGTGGCTTTACAGTACTATATCCACTGATTTACTAACGACGATTCTCAAGGTTGACAACACGGCTGCAAAGGCGTGGTCTGCTCTTGAACGCCTTTTTCTGGATAGCAAACCTACACGTGCCTTGCATCTTCAGCAGAAATTTTACAACACCAAGCAAGCATCGTTTACTTCTGCCACAGCATACTGTCAGGAACTCAAACATCTTTCTGATCAGTTGTCGAATGTTGATGCTCCGGTGACCGATCAGACCCTTGTCCTGCAGTTGATATCCGGCCTCAGTCCTGAGTATGACAATTTTGCAACCACTCTACAACAGGCTGATACGTTTCCGTCTTTTGAAACAGCCAGATCCAAACTCGTTCTTGAAGAGGACAGCAAGGCCAAACGACTTGCTGATGCACCGGCTGCCCTACACACTACTGGCTCTACCTCACAGCATGCTGCTGCTACCCCGGACCAGTCCCAGAATCGCTCAACTGGTAGGGGTTATGACAGCTCACGGGGCCGCGGACGTGGCAACAGGGGCCGCGGAGGCCGAGGTGGTCACGGGGACGTGGGTCGCATTTTTTTTATAACTCTCCTGGTTATTTGCCTACACCACACGGGTACTCTCCTATGTCACCATGGATGCCACAACCTTCACATAACCCGTGGTCAATGAACTAGTGGGCTTCGCCTCCTTGCCCATACCCCACGACTCCACAGCACCGTCCTCCGGCAAGGGCTGCCCCGGGCATTCTTGGTGCGGCTCCATCAGCAAACTATGCCTCGTCCGAGTATTCAGTTGCACCAACAAATATAGAACAAGCATTGCACACCATGTCTCTRAATCAGGATCAAAACTGGTACATGGACACCGGAGCTACATCTCATATGGCACACACCCCAGGTATGCTTTCCGCTTATGTTAATAATAGCAGTTTGACACCCATTGTTGTTGGTAATGGTTCTCATATTCGAACATCCGGTATTGGCCAAACAACCCTCAAACCACCTTACCCACCTTTAAAACTGCCCAATATCCTTGTTTCCCCTTCTTTAATTAAAAACCTTCTTTCTGTTAGACGTTTAACCACTGACAATGATATCTCAATTGAATTCGATCGTTTTGGTTTTCTTGTGAAGGATTTCCAGACCAAACTCCCCATTTTTAGGTGCAACARCTCCGGCGACCTTTATCCGCTCTCTCTTTCATCGGCTACATCTTCTTCTCCCTCGACTTTTGCTGCTCTCACTCAAGACCGTTGGCATCAACGATTGGGTCACCCGGGCGCTTCTTTATTACGTTTATTGCATAAACAAAACTCGATTTTTGTTTCTAGTTTGAATAATGACCGTTTGTGTCAATCTTGTGTTTTTGGAAAACATATTAAACTACCATTTCATGATTCTGTTTCCAATACATTATTACCTTTTGATTTAATTCATAGTGATTTGTGGACCTCACCCGTTACCAGTACGGGCGGTCATCGTTATTATATTTTATTCTTAGATGATTTTAGCAATTTTTTGTGGACGTTTCCTTTGGCAAATAAATCTAATGTCTACCCCACATTTTTACAGTTTCATGCTTATATCCGTACTCAGTTTGGCCGTCCGATTAAAACCTTTCAATGTGATAACGGAACTGAGTACAACAACCAACTTTTTCATACTT